CATTGCTTGTCGATGTCGAGAAATTTTATTTTTCAATTAATATGTAAAATCTTTAATGAACTCATCCGATATTTTGTTTTTATCCATGGATATCATTTCAATTTATTTATATGAAAGAAAAGTATCAATAATTAATCTTTAACTTTTTCAACAAAACGTATACGTATTTGGATAATACTGGCATAATGTTTTTAGAAATAAAGCAAATTACAATTACCATCTAATATAAAATTAAACATGATGAATTACTGAAAATCAACGATAAGTAATACCGCCTAAGATTGAATCGTAATGTCATGATTATTTTATTTTGAACATTTGTAATTCATTGTATACCTATGTTATACATATTATTTAATTCTATTTATCTTTTTTTTTGTTTAAAAAGTGTTTAACATATTATAATTACTTAATCTCTCAGATACTGAAGTTAGCAGCTAGAGATATTTTCCTTTCAGAAATTACCAATCAAATATTTACTTTATAACTCATTCTCCAATAGGATTCGTGATTAAAACGGTTCCGTTGGTACGAGCAATCAGTGTGGACAGTTTGAACATGTTTGAATTGTAGAACTCAACGTATCGTTCCATCATTGTGTGTATCATTCTCGTATTTCTTTTCATCGTTAATCATACTTCTTTATTTTTTTAATATGAAAGACACTGATACTAAATCGATTAATTGTGAAAAAGGTAAGACTAACGACCAACTTGGATAAATAGTTATTGTTTTGCATATCGTTCAATGTGAATGTCAAATTGATAGTTCAATGGCACGTACACGATTATTGAGAACATAAATTTTATTCAGAGTTTTATACATTGTTTAGAAAAATATTTTACAGGAACCGATGTACGTAAATCGGCAGAAGAAATGGATGAGCAACGTCAAAAGACGCTTGCTTACGAGTACCTTTGTCACTTAGAGGAAGCCAAGAAGTAAATACATTAAGGTTTCTCCAAACTCTCATAAATCTTTTTATTGACAATGTCCTACAGTTTCACAATTTCGTAGATGGATGGAAGCATGCCTTAGAGAAACACTCCCACCCACAACTGAATTAGAAGAGAATTTAAGAAATGGTGTATATTTGGCAAAACTTGCTCACTTCATAGCTCCTGAGACTCTGGCTCTCAATAAGATTTATGATTCTGAACAGAAACGTTATGCAGCAGTTGGTTTACAGTTTAGGCATACAGACAATATTAATTATTTCCTGAAGACTTTGAAGTCTTTGCAATTGCCATTTGTAGGTGTCTAGGCCATAATCATTAAAAGTTCCTTTATTCTTGATAGATCCAAAGTAATAAGAATAATTTCCTTTAATAGACTTTTCAACCAGAAACAACAGATATTTATGATAAAAAAAATATGCCTCGTGTAATATATTGTATTCACGCTTTGAGTACTCACTTATTTAAACTGGGCAAGGCTCCACAAATTCAAGATTTGTATGGGAAAGTGAATTTTACAGGTACTTGATTTGATCCTACACATATTATACAATGAGGTTTATATTATTGTTATATCGTTTTGTTTTTTGGTTTAGATGACGAAATAAATGCTGTTAGTAAAGAATTAAAAAAATATGGAATTCAGATGCCTTCATTTCAGAAGATTGGTGGTTTATTAGCAAACAATATGGAAACAGATGCAGCATCACTTCACGCTGCAGTAATAGCAATTAATCAGGCCGTTACAGAAAAGGTATGCATATCATTCATATTTATGAAGTATCTTGAACAACAACTTGTCTAATTGGTAGCTGTATTCTTTTAAGGATTGTGACAAAGTATTAACTGCTCTTGAAAACAATATGGTACAGCTAAATAGTGTGATGCCTTGCTATATCAAAGAGTACACTAATACTTTATTTCAAGCAAAAGAGTCTAAAGCACAAGCCGCACTTAACAGAGTAAGTAAGATTTATACTGTGTAAAGATATTCATTTTTTTATATCTTTAATGACCATTGATCATTATTACGTGAACAGTCTCTTAATGATAGTTACGTGCCAGATGTATATGATGAATTGTTGACTCAGGCAGAGATTCAAGGTCATATCAATTACGTTAATGGTGAGTTGTAGTAAAGTAATTTTCTAAGTATCATTTATTTATTTACATATATTTTCTTAGCTCACTGTGCCGTGGAAAATATATCTCAATCTATCCATTGTAAGAGTAATAAGTTCATGAATACATTACAAGCACCCACTTTACATTTGAAGGTTTGCTTTATGTTAATGCCTCTCAATAATACATTTATTTTTAATTCTGATATTTATGAGTATATTTTTTTTACTAGAATATTAGATCTGAGAATGCACAGTTTTATAAAGAACAATTAATGCAATTATTAGCAAGCTCTGAATGGAACACTATATATTCAGAGAGTAATCTTCATCACTGGAAACAGCTGCTTCAAAAAGAAATCGATAATGCAAACGAAATCGCAGTTAAATCTCGGAAACGTCAGTATTATAAAAATCTTTCGCGCAGAAGTTATTACCTATAATTAGCGCACATCGTTTTAATGCAGGTGATGATGCTGTGAAACTACTGAATTTAACGTTACAAAATTCTGCTCGAGATGAGTTCTGCAAAGCTTTAAAGAACCCTGACCTAGGATTAATGGAAAAGATCGATGAGTTTGCAATACCATTGTATTACGAAGAAATGAGAGTTGATCGCGTTGAATCTCAGGTAAAAATAGAATGCAACAACTAAAAAGAAGATTTGTTAAGATATGTGATATAGATTTTTATTAACTTGACGATATTCTTCTTAGAACGACCTTTCATATAGTGACATTGTAGCCAGTATACGCGTCTTATCAAGTATTGCAGATATCAGTAAAGCTGTAGATACGGGAAATCCTGAATTGGTTTATCAGGCATTAACAAATCCGGAGTGCCATGTCTCTGTAAGTTTAATTTTGCATTTATGGATGTTTCAATTACAAGAAAAGTTATTTTTGTGCCTATTGTATTTCAGGGTTTAGATCAAGAGAATAAAGTGAAATATTGTAGAGCATTAGTAGCAGTTCGATGTGAAAAGCAGACAGACGCTGAAGAATGTCCTTTATTGACGTATATTGACGTCCAAGAATGCATCGATGCCGTCAATCAACAATGCCAAAATAATGATGAAGGTATGTTCTGTGAACTTGGTTTTCTCGGACTCAAAAACCATAATTTTTAATATTTATACTAATATTTTGGCATCTTTATAGTAATACAAGTGTTACGTCAATTAAATTTGGCGGTCGTAGAAAATGATCGAACCGGTATCCTAACTGCTTTAAAAGATACCGCACTAAAATTACAAAAACCTATTTCGCCAGAAAACGCTTCTCTTTACTTGAAATTGTTTAAAAAATGTCTCGAGGAAAAACACAATGATGGTTCAGAGTTATGGTTGGAAGATGTGGAAAATGTAACGAAAACTGTTGCCAAAGAAGCTGAAACCGTACAAAATCTATGCACGTTTTTGTCGCAAGTCAATTTGGGATTGCAGCGGAATGATATGTTATTCACGCTTGATTGCCTCAAAGCATTTGGTTTTAAAGTACCAGAGAAGTATAAAGCAAATTGCTTTAAAAGTTTATACAACTTAAGAAAAATGAAGAAGAAAAATCGTTGTAGCTTTGTTCGTTTTATTACACCGAAAGGCAATGAATCGTACTTAGATCTACAGAAATACAATTATACCTGGGACTGCCCTAAAAGTATGTCGGAAACATTTCACGTCACTGTGGAAGAGATAAAACGAATAATTAAAAATAACGCGATAAGAGAACACGAAGAACATAAAATAACTAAATTATTAATCAGATTCCAAGCGTGTATTCGGGGATACTTGATACGGAAGAAGATTTCCGATAGGCTTACACATTTTCACAGCAACGTAGATAAAATTATCCAAATACAATCATGGTGGCGAAGTATAGTGCAGCGTAAAAAATACGCAAAGTTACTGCAGGAAAAATGGAAACAAAATCCAGAGAGATCCCAGAATGATTATTTGAAAATTAAAGCCAAATACACGAACATATTAGATTATTATAGAGAACACGAAGAGAAGATTGTAAAGATCCAAGCCGCGTGGCGCGGACGCGCTGAGAGACGTGCGTTTCATTCGTTACTATATACGGAGAAACCACCGTTTCCTGTGGTCCGTCATTTTTCTGCAATTCTGAATTTCAATGCGGAGGATTACGACAGAGACTTGCAATTACAACACTTAAAACACGAAGTGGTGCAAAGTATACGGCATAATCAGACCTTGTCGCAACAATTGGATGGAATGGATATAAAGATCGGTTTACTTATTCAGAATAGGATTACTTTACAAGATGTTGTAGCCCATGGAAAAAGTTTAGAGACTCTCGCGAAACAAAAGCATTCCAATAAGGATAATCAAAAAAATTCTTTTCCAGATGGTATAATGTCCCAAAAAGGTCTGAAATCGTTAACGAAAGAAGGTCGAAAAAAGTTGGAAGGATATCAACATCTGTTTTATGCATTGCAAACCAATCCAATGTACTTGTCGAAACTTTTGTTCCTCTTACCCCAAAGTAAGACGAATAAATTTCTCCAGAATGTAATTTTAACTTTATTTAATTTTGGGTCCAATATCAGAGAAGAATATTTATTGCTAAAACTATTTGGGAGTGCTTTACAAGAGGAGATCAAATGTAAATTTCAAAAACCGTCAGAAGTAGTTACCGGAAATCCTCTTGTCTTAAAAATGGCAGTAAACTATGCACGACAACTGAATGGTCAAAGGGCTTTGAGACAAATCGTTGGGCCAATTATTGAAAAAATTTTAGCCGATCGGACGTTAAATATAGAAACAAATCCTGTGGATATTTACAAATGTTGGCGAAATCAGTTGGAAATGGAAACGGGAGAAACATCGACTTTGCCTTACATAGTAACGCAACAACAAGCTTTAAGTTACGAAGAAGTGCAAATCAGATTAAACAGAGGAATACACCTATTACAAACTACTGTTTTAGAGTTCTTAAATAGAATAACCGAATCTCGAGATTTGATACCATACGGAATGTTATATATGGCGAAAGTTCTAAACGATTCATTGACTGAAAAATTCCCAAATGCTCCAGAGAAAGATATCTTAAAAGTTGTAGGAAATTTCATTTATTATCACTTTATTAATGCAGCTATTGTAGCTCCAGATGCTTTCGATATAATCACGTTACCGATCGATAGATCGTTATCAAACGATCAACGAAGGAATTTAGCTAGTATTGCCAAAATATTACAGTTCGCTGCTTCCAAAAAAGGCTTTGGTGAAGAAGCTACGCATCTAGTCTGTCTCAATTCTTTTATAATTGAATGTCACGAAAAGTTTAAAACCTTTTTCCGATACTGTTGTCAAATCGAAGGTTTGGAAGAACATTTTTCTATTCACGAGTATACAGAAGCGACGCTCATTCAAAAACCAGAAATATACATCTCTCTGCAAGAAATTTGTGATACTCATTGCCTCATGTTAGAGTACCAAGATCAAATAGCACCGGATCCAATGGACCAGTTGCACGATCTGTTGGATGATTTAGGTCCTGCGCCGACCGTCGCATCTTTGCTCGGCATATCTGACAATACATGTGACGCGAATATAACGCGTTTTGGAAAAACAGAAGTGTGCTTGGTACTCACTAACAAATTTCAAGTTCCGGAAGACGAGGACGTCAATTTAAACAAACTCTTTATAAAGACAAAAGAATTGTTGGTCTCTGTACTGCAATTCTTAAAGGGTCAAACGCTGGTCGAAGCATTGGATACTACGTGCTCCCCTATACAAGAAAAACTTTACGATATGAAGTGCATCACTTTATCGCCTACATTGAACATAATTCACAAAAGCTCGTCCTTAAACGATTGCAAGCTGCAGTTACGGGCGTACCTTAACAAACTTGAACTTGGAGGATGGGTCAGTCAAGCAGACGGATATCAAAATATCATAACAGCGGTAGCCAAAGATCTATGCAATAAGGGGAAGTATCGTATTATTCGGAACAAGGAATTGCAAACTTTGCGTACGACTAAACAACGGTTAGAAGAAAAATGTAAATATTATCAAGAACAGGTGGAATATTACAACGAATATATACAACGCTGTTTGGAGAACTTGCATACAGGAAAAGGGTACGTATACTACAATCATTTAATTGATTTTCGTCCATATGATACTTATAAATTATTTATAGATCTCTGCGAGCATTCAAGGCCATACAAAAAGATAATCACGGTAAGCTGAGGTCTAAGATGACGTTGAAATACTCCGCGTCAAAATTACAAGAAAAAGGAGTACTTTTGGAAGTGGATGGACTACCGCAGTCGCAGTTTAAAAATGTGATTTTTGAGATAAGTCCGACGGAACATACCGGACTTTTTAGCGTGCGTTGTAAATTCATGGGGGTAGAGATGGAGAAAATCGACATCGATATACAAAAGTTACTCGAACTGCAATTTGAAGGCGCAACGATCATGGACATGTTCGGCAAAGCAAAAGTTAATGTGAATTTATTATTATATTTATTGAATCGAAAGTTTTATGGTAAAACGTGAAAAAAATAATGAAATATTGTACCATTAACGAATACGACCGAGTTAATGCACTTGTGCAATGTTCTGCTGTCATTTAAGTCTTTAAACAAAACCCGCGAATAATTCCGAATCCGATTTAGTATTCACAAGTACTTCACGATGATTTTAAAAATTGTTTTCTGTAAATAATTATGCTTATAAGAGTACGAACTTTTTTATACGAGGTTCTAGATATGTATGTATGTATGTATGTATGTATGCATGTAATATTGTGTATAAATTTTATGAGATTTTACAATTTTACAACACAAGACTATCAGCAACTATTTAACTATTTCATTTCGATAGAATAACGGTAATATTATGGAGAAATTTCATAAAACAAAATGTTTTTAAGCACGATCAAGAATGTTAGCAGAGAAATATATTTTTTAGGTATTATATAAAAATAAGTGAACTAATAATAATAAATCGTTTACTACTGAGGTAATACTCATCCTGAATTTATTTGTATAAGTAAATCTAACTTCGGTGATAACTTCGTGCATCATCCTTCGCTATCCTTTCCATTTTTATAAGAGTTGCGTTGAATAATTGTATATAGTATGAATCTAAGTATTTTTTTACACTGCACCATCAAATTAAGATAAGGCATATTCTCAGAAAGTTTCAGATTAGAACAATAGGCTGCCCATTATCGTTAATATATTTTGTAACTCTATACACGTATAATTTATATCATTGTTTAAATATTGGACAACCTATCGTTTCTGTGCATTTATATAAAGTCGAAAATCGAATTATTTGAACACAAATTTGAAATTTTTATCGTACGTGTATTAGATACAATAGGACCTATTTTATAAAATATACTACATACAGGCCTGTTTAGTGGATTCATTGACGAATAACTTTGCACATTCAAAATAAAATATTAATGAACATAAAATAAAGTTGTATTATCAAAGTGTTAGTTCACATTACATAAGTTCGTGTATTTTATACATGATCTTTATTGAAGGGTATGAAAGTATATAAAAAATGAACAGAAGATAAATATGGAGATCAATCAATAAAATAAAGATTTCTTTCCTTTTTTTAAAAGAGTAATTCAATCTCCGAAATCCTATTATATTGAAGTGTATTTGTGCGTGTAAAAAATTTGATATTTATAGAACGAAAAATTCCTTTTAATGTTACATGATATAAACGCTACATGCGCATGTCATCTACATAAAAGTATGCAAGCTTCATTTACTCGGTAGTTATTGTGATACACGAGATTTTCTGCTTGTACATAATTATGAAACACTGTAAGTGTACAACCCGCACTTATCACACGTGTATTGTATTATAAATATTTTTTTATTTTTTTATATACTCGTTTTTCTCGAAGTTTTGCATTCCTAATCAACTTTTATTATACAAATCTGCGTTTACACAGTTTACGTGACATATGCTAATATCCAGGTACTGCGTCACGAGGTATCTTGAAAGACGTTTCTATAAGTTATGGCGCGTAAAATGTCAGTAATGTGGTCAGTGATCTTTTTCAAATGTCCCTTCAATCTATTTTCTCTTTCAATCGAATCAAGTATTTATTATTTCTAATAGAATTGATTATGTGCAAGCAGTAACTGAAACCTCCACGAAGCAGGCCGTAAGGTGCATTTTATGTATTGTTAACCGTGTATTACATATATCACCGTAGTATTAACTTTTATAATAAATAGCATACTAACATTAAATTTACTTAAATATGTGCACACGTCGGAACACAACGTTTCATACAATAAATCATTCAGTAAGTGTTATCGTTTGTTTAAAATATTGTCGAAATATCTAAATTTCTGTTGCACATCTGATATCTGCGCTAACGTTTCCTCCATCATGTTTCGCAATTTCGATAAATCTGGCATTTTGTCGCATGACTCGATATTTAATAACTCTGTGAAGAACTGTTCCCAAGCGGCTTTTTTAAGGTACCTGTGTATACGTACGTTTTACAAATTAATTTTTTATAACTGATATGTACATATATATAATTAAAAAAAGTTATTTAGTACCTTGGTATTTTTGATGTGATAAACCAGCGACCACCGGTATTCGTAACTCGCATATAATTACCAAATAACAAACAATGACTGGTTGCAGCTAAACAATATAAATCAGTCTGGTATGTCCATGGCTTTCCAGTTTGCATTTCGATACAAGTAAAATCTTCCGTTTTTATGACCTGAGTAAAGGTCGTATTCTCTGGCATCAAAGTCATATCTATACTACATCCGAAATCTATTAATTGTATTGTTGGCCTTACATCTTCCGTGGGCCTGTAGAACGTTATATGCATAATAAAATTGATTTAAAAGCTTCAGTTGTAATATAAAAACTGAAATACGCACGAACGCATCAAAAGGAAATTGTCCGGTTTAATATCTCCGTGAATTATTTGGCATTTGTGTAAATACTCCACGATTTGCAGTATCTCAATCGTGAAGAATATAGCTAGCTGTTCCACTAACGGTTTACCCGTAGTAATTTTTATTTGATTCGTTACTGCTAACAGCGTTCCGTACTTGGAATATTCCGAAACTAATATGCTACTGTTATTCGCGACGTACGCCATTGAAACATCCATAAATCCGCGTAGCTGAAAAATTGAATCTATGAGTAACATCAAACGTTGGAAATTCGCGAAAATAATGATATCGATATTTTACCATATGTGGATTAGTAAGACGACATTTTATTTCCCTAGTAATATAAAATTCCCAAATCCAAGCAGGCTTCTGAGTCTTGAGAGCGACTACCTGACCTGACTGCAGGTTCACTGCTTGGAATACTGTACCGTACGTTCCCTTTCCAAGGCACTTACGTAAATCGTACGTTTCAGTACCTTAAGTAGAGAAGAAAATAAAAATAATAAGTACAGAGAAAATATGAAATGATTTGCATCTACTGAGATAATATATAATAGTACACTGAAATAAACTGACCAAGCGTAATCTGAGTAGAAGGCACAAGCTTATTTAAATTAGTATCTAATCTCACATATCCCTCTGCGTGATGTGGCCGGGGGAATTTAATTTTCTTTAAAAGACTGGCTATTAAGTTTCTATCAAAAGGATTTATGTTCTCCGGAAATTGGAATGAACTTTCTTCTTCCGCTTCTTCCATCGGCTCGTGATGCTCCTCGCATTCCATTGAATCAACTTTCACCTGTTGCTCTATCTCATTTAACTTGAAGTTGATCGATTTCCGTAGATCACAATTCTTTTTGATCTCGGAAGTAATTTGATCCACGTTACGCTGCACCGTACGCGGACTCTGAGCGTGTACAGCTTGAATTTGGGCGTGAAGCTTTTGCTCATAAAGTTGGTTTGCGGACAGCGTGATATCTTTGTCATCATCTCCTTCTTAAATAAAAATTCTGCATGCGTACAAAGATCTACAATAAACGACTGAAGAATAATCTCTCCTATATACCTCTGGTAATAGAATGTTCTTTTATAGGAACCAGGTCTTCTTTCGTCAACGTGAAACCTAATGCGGTATTCCGTATGTGAGTGCTGCTACCGGAACTACTTGAAATATATTCCCTGGTAGATTCTAATATAACGCTCAGTTTCTCATCGTTCTCGCCGTGTGGTGCCTCTGTAGTTCTGCAAATTGAAACGAAATTAATAAACGCAAATCTAATGTTAACGATTAAGTGAAATGAAAAAGCCACATACGGTTGTTGAGACGCAACATACTGATTCGGATATTGTGAAGTTCCTTCTACTACTTTGTAAGATTGTCTAAAATGATTAGTCATAGGCGTAGAGCTAGTCAATTGTGTATTAAACGCCTCCGTGTAAGAAGTATCGTTATTTCCTAACGGTGTAATACCAAGACTTTCATCAATATACAAAGCGTTTTCGTCAGCTGGCTTTGGAATCACATTTATAATTGGCTCTTCTATTGGTCCATTATAATCAACGACGATAGCGTTCTCTTTGTCCTCGGCGCTTTCGAGATACTTGATGTCCCTGCGATTCATTCCCGGAGACTTTATATACGGTAATTCTGGTGGCATTCTATACGGTTTGCTAGTCTCGATATCAGGCTCGTTGTAAGGAGGATACTGAAGCTGTTTTTGCTGCTCCACATTCTGATGCAGTAACGTGGATTCCAGTTGCGGTGGGTATTGTTGATAACCCATTTCATTCGGCATTATGTTGCCATAAACGGGATGTTGCATATGCTGCGGAACATGTGGATGCGTTTGATGATGAAGGTGTTGATTGTGAGGCGACTGATGCTGCTGAGGATGTTGGTGATGCTGGATTTGACTGTGAGGCTGCAAATGTGACGCGTGAGGGAGACTGTGATGATGAGCTTGTATCAATTGTTGATGGTGCTGCGAATGATGCGGCCGAGAGTGAGGCTGTTGCACTTGTTCATGATGTTGCTGCAATAAATGAGACATAATGTACACAAGAAAGGATGGCCTTCATATTTTTTGTATATCATACCTGGATTTGAAATTGGTATGTGTTGTGCAATCCAGGGTTACCGTAAGAAGTCTGGTGCTCTTGATTCGAGTAACTTTGATGAGCGGAATAATTCTGATGATTCTCTTGATCGTTGTAAGGTTGCACATTGTAACCCGAGTGATGTTTACTATTCGACATCGCATGCTGTGTCATTGAACTGTCCATATGTATGTCAAATGACAGTTTAGACTTGGTGTCTGCGATTCTAGATGTCATTGGGTTACGAAAGCTAGGTTGGATGGTTACAGCATCAGGGGAACGCCACATGTCTTGCACGACCGATAATGCTTCCTTTGTGTTTACTGTGAGACTTTGTCCGAGTACATGTTCTTCGGGATCAGCATTCAACGACGATGTATGATGTTGCATAAAACTTGATTGCAATTTTCGTTGCGAGTTCAATTCTGCTTCCATCCTCTGCGCCTCCAATCTCTCCGCTTCAATCCTTTCGGCCTCTATTCTTTCAGCTTCCAATCTTTCCAATTCACGTTGTTCCGCTTCGCGCCTTTGAGTCTCCAATGCTTGGTTCTCGGCCTCGTACTGCCTCTGAAGTTCCTGTTGTTCAACTTGAATTCTCTGTCTATCTAACTCAAGTTGTTCAGCTTCTCTGCGTTGCTGTTCCAATTTCCTTTGCCTTTCCGTTATCTCTTGCTGTTCGAACTCCCGCCTTTGTCTTTGCAATTCTTGTAGCGACAAATCATGCCTCGAATGTACAGACTCGAAAGTTTTATGCTGCACTTGATGATCAACCTCCCTCACATTCGGTATGTTATGTTTCTTTTCCAAATTTTGTGCTCTATACAATTTTAAGTATGAATCATATTAATAATTATTCACGGTAGTTTCTGTATAATAATTTCATGAGCAACCAATAAAAATAAATTACCTTTGTATATATTGTTGGGCTTTTATCTCTTCCATACTTCTATCCGTATTATTAGCATAAACTAATTCTTTGGGATAATGTGGCTTTAATACAATATTTGGATTCGGAGGATCTGGTACAAATACAGGCGCAGTTGAATACTCGGGATATTTACTACCATCAAAAAAATATGTATGATTTGGAAATAATCTTAGTTTGTCTGCATCAAAGTCATCCGGCTGATCTTCGTGAACTATGATTTAAAGAATAATAAAATACATAAAAAAAGGTTGATATCATACACGAATATTAACATATTTTGTAAAGAATAAATAATATTATACCTTTAAAGGCTGGCTTTACAGTAGATGTTATTAAAGGGCATCGTTTACTACCACTACTCCATGGACCAGGTTTAATAGAATTCTCCTTATGTATTGTATCTTCGACTGGTACATGATCTAATATACTTGTACCTTTCATTTCGCTCGATATATCGTCCTATTAAAACAATTCAATGTATGATTTCTATATTGTTATTCTTTCATACTATCTGCATACCTGGTATATCTGCACCCTGGAATTTGGCCTGTTGTGCATTGTTGGATTTTGCGGAACGGTGCCGGGAAAATGTTCACGTACGCGGTGTCCTGTACGCACGCTACCAACTCTTCTACCAGCTTTGATCGCTTTTAAAGAACTGAAAGCTTGACGTTGCTCGAACAATGACACTTCGGTACGATCATCAGCGCGGCCCAACGTCTTACGCGCGACCGCAAGTTGGAAATTTCTATAAGTAAAATAAGTTCATGTGCAGAAAAAATGGTATACATTTTTGTAAGTTAGATGCATACTTGTGAGCATAATCCAATTCCTCCCGTGGTTCAGCTAACGCGGACAAACCCATTAAATAAACTTCATCGGCTCGCTTATAGTCTTCTACTTGTTCTAATTCAAAAGCCCATGCTCTATACATGTCTGCAACCATAGTCCCAATTCCATTGTTATGTAAAAGTTGATACAATTCTAATGGATTCTTCTGCAAACTTATCTACAATCAAATGTATATTTTATGAAATTAAAGACATAGTAATTTTACTTATTTAAAAATAAAGTTCAAGATTAATTACATAGTTGATCCATAGGCGTATATATCTACGGTCTTGATGATACTTGGTCTCTTTTTCAAATATAGCTAAACATTGTTGTAAAAGTTTACTAATAGGTGACTCGTGTCCACTTTTTGGATAACTCTGTTCCACCCAGAGTATATAGTCATACCAACATTCCAAAGGATCATCACCTTCATAATCTTTTATTGCATCCTCATACATTCTGAAGAAATTAAAAGAATTTAATTTATGATTTTGTAACTGCTATGTAAAGATAACTTTCATTATTATCAAACACACTGTTTTTCTTGCAAAAGTAATTGTTGAACATCTGCATCCTCTTGTGCTCTTAATGCTGTTCCTAATTGTGCAGCATTTCGTCCATAACGCAAAGGTTGAATATTTTCCTTCCAAAGGGCTATAACTGATGCAGGGTCCATTCTTAATTTTATATAATCTTATCAAACCACTTTATACTCTAAAAAACAAGAGAATTCAAATAATGACGACGAATCAAAACAATAAGCCTTTTACATGTCTGTCACAAATGTAATTTAAAGTCATTAATACAAAAAGAACAAAGAAATTTCAAACAACTTGCCTTGAATGCATTACAGCGTAACACATTAACAATCGTGATCGTTAGAGTGTATAATCATGTATGAAAGTCAAAGGGAACCGAAATTCGTTTCAAAATGTGTCCAGTTGAATGCAATGCAAACAATCATCCAAACAATTAGGCGATAGATCGGGACGAGAATGCGAGAGTTGGTTCTCAGAAAACACTTAACCTTTCGCGTGTACCGAAACTTTGCATAATAACCTTCGAATAGCGGTGGACCTTCAAATTTGAATAAATCTAGTCTTGATAAGTCCAATAAGGACGCTATCAACCTAGGTTAGGTTGGTTTTTCACTCAACGGCTACACAGGCCACCAACGGTTTTTCACTGTCTTATCTTCTGCAGTCTTCTGCTACTCCTGCTACTGTGTTCGTTTAAATGATGCAAGAGATACCGTTTGCGTTCTTATACATACGAATTTTAATTCGATCAACAGCTACGCAACGAGAGTATCGAGAACTGATGCAACGAGAGATTCACCGTGCTTAATACAGTTTTCACTTAAATCCCTATCATTGAAATTAAAATTACCAATGGGACAGGGGACAGCTGTTACAGTTACAGAGGAACTTCGCATGATCTTCCGATCGGAGCCTCGCAGCCTCGGAACACGAACTTCCACACTTCGCTACTGTTTCTATAGTAACTCGGCAATTGGCAGAGCAGCCCAAAAATTGGTACGACGTTGATTATAATTTTTTCTTTTCTTTGAATTATCTGACAATCGCATAAAATGATTATTACCAATTTTATGTAACGATCGGCATGATTTAAAATGTACATATAATTCCGAAATTCTTTGCACGTGAAATACAAAATTTATTACATTCTTATGACGCAAGCGTTGCAATTTAGGTCCCTCATTCATCGCGTCAAATTTGCTTATACATTTTTTTAATTTTTCCACAGGTTATCCATTTAGGGATTCAATCATTTAAACAAAATTCGACCACAATATGAATACTTTACAGTTTTATATAATTTTTTTACAAAATCTAACGAAAATGTTAATGAAATCTAACTTTAATTCCATATTGTTTTACACATTCGTACGTTACGCGCTCCTAAAACTGAAAAAATTAATTAATATGAAAATTCATTGGAATAT